CTCGTTCCTATTTCTCTTGCTACACTTCAAGTTCCTGACCCGTTCCTTAATCCAACGTTGCCCAAATGCCCAATTATGGCTTGATCTCGTACATTAAGCAGTCGAAGTATCTAAACTTCCGAAAAAGAACAAATTTGGAAATGGCTGGATTCGAACCGACGACCTTCGAGTTACCATCCCAAATTTGAGCCAAGCGCCTTACCTATTCGACCAGCAAGGCACTTAACTGCTTAATCTAACTGAAGTTTTCTTTGTTTGCAGTTTAAATGGTTTGCGGTTTAAATGGAACAACAATCAAATATTTAACTGAAAAAAGAATCGAGTTTTATTTGCTATTTTCCGCCTATGACGACGTTGAAGATCTTTTCTGAACAAAAACGAATAAAAATCATTTTCAATTGTTTCAAAGGTTCTCAATAAATTATTAATCAAATAAAGCTGCCCGTTGAAAATGAAAGTTATGAAAGACATTTCTAAATTATCTTAAATCTAATTAATGCTTTGTCTGTCTGTCAACGCCAGACTCTTTTCTATTGTGCCAATAAAAACAAAGAATATTAATGACGTCTGTAAGCATATTGAGTGACGGTTGAAGATGAAGAAAAGATTCGTATTAAGTTTTGCACTTCCAATGTCATTGATTTGGATTGTCTGTTGTGCTAATAATATTTACCGCTAGTTTTGGGAGCAATTTATGGATGCTTATATATGAAAATAAGTGCCTATCCACACGATTTGTATGGGACAGTGAGAATATTTGCGCATTTCTTTTCTTTCCTAATTTTTAAATAGATATGATTTTTTCAGTGGCTCATCTTAGTCCAATTAGACCATTTGAAACTATTCTTACAATACTAACTTTATAATCGGAAGCAAAAACGTTTCAAATTCGACAAAAGTTGACTAAATTGATTTGTTTTAACAATTGACTTTGATTTATCAATTGCCCATTGAATCAAAGCATGATTTAAATATCCATTTTTCAATTTTGTTGCATTTTCATACTTTTAAAAAAAGTTGGCACGTCATTCAGTCTCAATTGCAAATTGGAATCGAAACAAAACAATAAATTAATAAAATCTTCAATAAATTACATTGCTGACGTCGAAAATCTTGTTTTTTGCGATCAAGGTCAGCACTTCTTAATTGTTTCTATAAAGAGCAAGATACTTTTTTTTATCTAGGAAAATAAGTCATTAGAAAAGAATTAATTTATCAAAACAGGGCGATTCCAGAAGACTTTTCTCGCTCATTTACTCAGCATAAATAAGAAGGTTAATTGATGCGGTATCTAAGTGAAATGTTGCGAAAATTTTATTACGTAAACGAGGTAAAGAAAACATCAGTAATCGCCTACGTTTGATAATTATTATTTTCTTCAGCATAAATTCTAGACCCTCTAACATAAATTGTCCTTTTTTCATTTTATAAATTTTTTATGCGATTACTTCTACTTGGTAAAAAAGTGATAATTTCTTTAAAAGTTTTCGAAGGTTTTATGGATGTTGGGTGAATGATGCGTCTATGAAATGCTTTTAAGGATATTTAAGCAATTTTCTTTAATATTCACATCATCATCCCCCCTCCCCCGAAATTTTATCTAAGTGCCTAATTCACTTCAGTTCAAATTGTTAATTATTGCTCTAGCTCCAACTAGGTAACGGGAAGAAGGATTGGAAAAAAAAAATTCAGTCAGTCCCAAAGTGAGTTGTAAAGTAAGCAGAACTGTTTCTGTTGTTGGTAACAAAAATAATCTGTAATTCTAAAAACAAAGCAAAAACAACAGAACCGAACGGTGAACCTTTCTTTCTCATAAAAATGGAATTTTTGTTTCCTTTGAAACCATAAAAAATAATTTATATTTTATAGCTATTGAATGAAGAGAGAACAAGGGGGTTAATTTAAAAAATCATAAAATGAACACGACATAACACTTGAAACATCTTTTAGTGCGCAGTAATTGAAGACTTATTTTAGTGCTTTTAGTTTTTCAATAAAAATAAATAAAATTTTACATAAATATTTTTATGCTGGTACAATACCGAGCGATCCACATTGAATTGGTGTCCACAAATGAACAGTTATCTTAGAATTTAGTAAATTCTCGTCGATTTTAAGGACACCAAGGCGTGGAAACTATCCCAATTATCCCATTTATCCCATATCCTAAAAATATTCAAAATAATCCCTGAGTTTGTATGCATTAGAATTGAGATATCCCATCATATCCTGAAATTACACGTCCAATACACTAAGGATACGTTGGGATATCTTTATTATCGTGCATACATGCTCAGGGATTTTTTGAATATTTTTGGAATATGTGGGATAAATCAAGGGTGTGGTACTGATGAAATGATCAAAAAATGATCAAAAATGATCAAAATTGATCAAAATGTAATTCTTCAGTTCCACACCCTTGGGATAAATATGATATTTGGAATAGTTCCCACGCCTTGAAGTACACTGTTCACTCTGCTGTCGTATCAATAACATTTAACATGTGTCAATCGGGTGTATTATGCATAAGTGCATTGTCACATATGTAACAAAGAGTTTCTATATTCGTTACAATATTGATTATTCGACTCTTGGAATCATACATATAATTCTTAATAGAACAAGCACAATATTCTTGGTTAGATATTGATATTGATATTGCCATATAGAGCATAGTCACATTGCAGAGTCACATTGCAAATTCACGATGATATCAACAACTTTAAACTAAATCAGAATAAAAGTCCATAATAAAATTATCGGTTGCCTTTAGTGCTTCATTCAATACACAGCTCAGATTGCGTAACTATGTATATCAGTGAAAGAACCAAGGATGTAAAACCAATAAATAATTCTAATCAGTTCCAATTCTTGAGGTAAACCTTCCCTAAGATTAAGCCACGCTTAATCGCTTGCCAGAAGCAAAACGCTTCTTAACTAATTCGACTCCTATTACCTCACGTCAAATGTCCGAACAGTTCAACTACAAACTAAACTCGGATGGAAACTTTAATGAACATATTAATAAGCAGTGCTTCAGAAATGTCGAAACTTTTTCCCAAAAAAAAAAATATTATCTCATTCTTAGCCTAACTTTTTAACACCCCCGACTACTCAGCTATATATTTTTCTGAAAGATCTACTGCCTGATAACCAATTTGAATGTTCACCTTCTAATCTCGAAGTGGAAATCGATAATTTATTTTCTTTGACGTAGGCGGAAGGCGAAACTTTTATACAAAATTGCAAAACTTCCTAAAATAATGAAGAAGGAATGAAAACAAGAAATCGTAATGATCATTAATTCCAAATCAATAATGTTATTCCAACGTGTGACTACAAAAGAGCAACACGGACAAAACTTTTTTTTGTTTTTAACATGATGAAATTTGCTTTTTTTTTCATAAATTTGACGATAAAGTTTCGGCATGAAAACTTTTTCTTTTGTGTAGCTTTATTTTTTTTTGTGCTCTGATTAAGCTTCCACTTCAAAAGACTCAACGCTCTTTTATTAATCGTTTCATGGAAATCAGAAATATATTTTCCACAGGTTTATTTATTAATGATCAACAAAATAGCTTTCAATCGGACCAAATCCCAGATTAATTGGAAATTTATTGTACCTGAATATGCCTTAAAGGATCAGTTGAAGGTTTTAATGATGAGTAACTCTTTTTGAGGTCATTATACCAATAATCAATTGGCTAGCCAACAATTGGTTTCTGTGTGAGCTGTTTTCAAACAGGTTCTTGGTACAGACATGAGTAAAGGATAATTGAACGTTTAAAAGACTATTTGATGTTTTATGAATGCCAGGCGCGTAGCCAGGAGGGTCTTGTCCTCCTCTTAAGCGTTTTAGGCCGTGCTCTCACTGTGGGGGGGGGGGGGGGGGGGGGGGCAAGATCCTCCTGGCAACGCGCCTGATGAATCTAAATTAAATCTAGTGATTATTCAGTAGTCAAATCATTTTTACTCAAAACATTATATGATATCCCGAATGGCACAAGCAGAGTTGCGATACAGGCACCTGTGCACAGGTGGGAACCGTATAATTCCTTGATAATTTGTGAGATTTTATTGGAATTTTGTATGGATTTGTTTGAAAAACCTCATAAATTTTCAAGGAATTGTAAATCTGTGCCATTTACTGATCGATTGATCGACTTTTGACTGATCAGAAATTGGTGCCGGATTTGTATTCGATTAACCGACTTGTGCCATTCGGGTATGTGCTCAAGTCTCATTTTCCCTAGGTAACACTCAATGTTAGCAAAGAGAACAGAGTCCATTACAAACAAAAAAAATTCAAAATTTTCGCGCAGTATTTTTTTAAAATTTCAAAATAAGAAATTCCGTTACTTTTTATTTTTTTTAAACTAGCTGTTTTGTTAAGCATAAACATTTAAGGAATGCAATTTCATCACAGTGATTATCTTAATCATAAAAACTAGTAGGAATGTTCACTAAAATTACAAATTACTCGAAAAATAACAATTCACAAGGAATTTTTTTAAAAATAAGAACTTCGAAGATTCGATTTTCGAAAAATTAGAACCTCAAAAATTCGAAGTTCGAATAATAAGAACTCAAAAATTTCTGTTTGCTAGCATTGGGTAAAAAGTAATTTTTAAGTAAAACATTAAGTAATTTTCCCGCCAAAATTGTTGCTTTATTTCTGAAACTTTAAAAAGAATTCTTCGAAATTGTCTTTTTTGCAATGATTTCCATACTGTTTGATTTTTTGGCCATGAATGCTTTTCGAAAACAGATGTGAACAAAAACAATAAAAATTGATGTAAAAATGACTACTTACCAAAACATTGTGGCATGTTAAGAAAACATAAAACCTAATATAAACTTTTACATCATTCCATTATTTAACTTCATTTTTCAATTTGACCAAGCTATTACATCTTGAATATCATGAAACATAAAAAATCTAATTTTGAATCTTTCCTCTCGATTGAATTTCTTTTATTCTCTATTTTTTTCTGTTGCAGGACAAGTTTTGCTTCTTGTTAAAATCATTGAGGATAGCAAGCAGGAAATTAAAAGTCACAATCATGAAAAATTCCAATTGAATTATTTGAATTGAAAGTAAGAGTATATTTGTAAAATAAAAGTGATACAAAGTAGCTATAACTAGAGGACGTGATAAGAAGAAAGAAAAAGAAAGTACAAATGCACGGAACGAGAAGCTGTGAAGAGTAGCAAAAGAAAGGAAAACAATCGAAAGGGTTAAAAAAATAATAAAAAAAAAGAAATGGATGACAACTCAACCGTAGTGTTTGGTAGCATAAGACTGACATCGGAAGAGAACTTTTACAACAACACTCCTGCACCACCATCGTATGGATATATCAACTACACGACACCATTTATAGGTCAAACATCTGATGACTTGTTGATTCCCATAGCTGACGTTAATCATGATCCATTTTATGTCGTTATTCCAATTACCGTCATATATGCAATAATTTTTATTACGGGAGTCATAGGAAATATCTCAACATGCATTGTCATCTCCAGAAATAAGTCAATGCATACTGCAACGAATTATGTAAGTTACGTGACAATTTTTGAAGTTGATTTAATCAAAAATTTCTTTATAATTTATCCACAGTATCTATTTAGCTTGGCTATATCAGATTTTATTCTGCTCATAAGCGGCGTTCCTATGGAACTTTATCACATTTGGCACAAACATGATTTTATCTTTGGTGAAGCATTCTGCATATTGAGGAATGCAATCAATGAAATGTCGGCTAATGCTACCGTTCTCACAAGTATATTCTCATTATATTATAGTTTAATGCTGTTCATAAAACATAAGCTTTCTCCTTTATCCTCCACAGTAACTGCATTTACGATAGAACGTTATGTGGCAATATGCCATCCATTCCTCTCACATACAATGTCTAAGTTATCGAGAGCTATTAAATTCATCTTCCTTATTTGGATCCTATCAATTGCTTTTGCAACACAGCAAGCTATGCAAACTGGTATCGTTGTAAATGAACAAAATCAGACTTGGTGTACAGTTGTTCATGATCGAGTTATTATCGAATATTCGTTTCTTTATGCAACAGTTTTATTCTTCTTTGCTCCAATGATGCTAATATCTGTGCTTTATTTGCTAATTGGTATAAAATTACGCTCAAATACTCTTATAAAAAGAGAAAATGGAAATGTTGTTAGGAATAATAATCTTCACTCAAGTACACAGAGTAACACCAGCCAAAGCACAAAGAGAGTTATCAAAATGTTGGGTGAGTTGAAAGCTTTTTTGTTTTCATTATTTCGGTGAATTTTTTTAATAAAAGGTATATACATAATGAGAGGTTCTTAGTGATACTTGACAAGTTAAATGCTTGCGGGGATGTTAATTGACTTAGGTATCGTTCACTTATGACGTCCGAAAATAACGGTCATTTTTCAGGAGAGAACAATGGGTTTCCAGGAATTTCTATTGTTCTTTACTTGCTAAATCAATATATGTCTTCATACAACTGAGCGTCGATAATAGCTCAGTTTATTGCTCAGTTTGTTGCTCAGTTTATTGCTCAGTTTATTGCTCAATTGTTGCTCAGTTTATTGCTCAGTTTATTGCTCAGTTTGTTGCTCAGTTTATTGCTCAGTTGCTCACTAATTATTCAAATTTTGAAACTACATTGCTGATTGTGGATTAATTAGTGAATTAATGATGTTTAAAGGCTTTATTAGACCTTAAAACAGTCTAAAAAAATACGACAATAGCTTTAGTCATTTGATTTTTAGTGACATTAGACAAGATTCAAATCAATTCAAACTTGTGTCAATCGGACATGACTTTCATTAAGTTAGCAAACCAAATTCTCTTCTTAAAAGCAAGTCCGTTTACCACATCAGAAAGCTTCATGAAATGGTTTAAAAGGATTTAAAAATATATATAAACTGATACATCAGCTCTACTCGAAATATTATCAGACTTCCCACACAATTTTTATCAATTTTTTATTTAAGCTACAACAGTATAAGACAACATTGAACCGCTTGAAGCCTGCATCTTGTTTAAATACTTAGTACAGATTATGACGAAATTACAAACTACCTTTCCTAGGGTCGTAATCCTATAAGCATGTCTTACCAATAAGTACATTTTATAAACACTTCTGCTGATAGGGACATAGAACAGCAGTGCCCACACACATAAATTTTTATGGTTATGGATTTTTTTTTTCTTATTCTTGCAAGACATTTATAGAAGAAGTCCGATTTGCCGGTAGCTAACCGCATTAAGTCTAAAGAAGAAAAATCATGTACCGTAAACAATATTCAGAAATAACCGCATTATTTTTCGCTCAAATCAGCATCAAAAGTCGTGACTATTTTTAAAATTATTTTGAAACAAATAAGAAGCGATTAAAATATGTCAAAAGGAAAAGACACGTGAGCAGTGTTGCTTTTGAGAATTGAAACATAAAATTTGATTTAGTTCTGCGTTAAATTCTGAATTCTGACATCAACGTTGAGATTGAGCCAAGGGGAAGAACAACATGCTGGGAGTAGGAAGGAATCTAGACAAAGAGGCCTGTGAAGCAGATCAGGATGCTTACGTTTGTAGTCCAAAGAGATAACAGCACGCTGTTTTTCCCATGTCTGAGCACTTAGTTCATTTTGATGTGTTTTAACTGGACTAGATTCTATCCTGATGTCTGATTCACATGCCTTCTGGTCTAGATGATGCTTAATTTCTGTGCTACAATGATAATGTAGAAGAATAGTTCCAGAATTTAATGCAATTAGCCATGAGCACTTCCATTCTGACGGTCAAAGGAATCTATTGTAACCGTTTGCTCTGCCATCTTCAGACCAGTGACAATTCAGTCCTTTCTAAGTTGCAACAATAATTTAAAGGTTTTTAACCCAGAAACATAATCATAGATGTTAAAAGTTTTGAGTACGGTTCCTCTGTTTAGGACATCATCTCGACTAATATTATTTATCTCTTCTGGTTTAGTCATCTGGAATAACAACACTGCACGTGGCGAAGTCTCCTATTTTATTTTCTTAATTATCATAAGTGGTTAAATTATTCCGAAAATGCTTCCACAACTTACTACAGCAGACTTATGTCGACAACGAAATTAAATTGTTCCCGTGGTATCAATTCAGTGATATTATAAAATGCGATATTCAGATCACGATTGCACACATTTTTCTCCACTCCAATTTATGATGTAAAGCAGAAGGATGGAAAATTAAAAACAATCCATGACTTCTTTCGCACATTCTCCCAGCCCTCAAATCAGCATTCTTGTGGTAAAAGTAATTTAGAGTTGTCAAAATTTATTGCAAACTTTTTTTTCATGCGTAACGCATGTATTAAATAATTTTTTTTTGTCGACTCTTACTCTCGCTTTGGCTATAAATTTCCATTTCGTTCGTGTATGGTTGGTGAGACGTCTGAGTGAGTGAATGAAGGCAAGGAAAACTGAGATTTCCTTTTATCTTGTTTCATTCATTCATTACTCTTGGTTGGAAATGGAACAGGAAACTTTTTTTTGCTACAATGTTATTGGAGACAATCATTAGTGATGTCCAACATTTAGAAGTTCAATGTTCAAAAGCTTAGAAATGTTTCGAATAAAATAATTTTCAAATTTTTTTGTAAAAAAATCTGTGAGTACAAGAGTAATGCCTTTATGGTTATGGCTACGTATTGGATGATGAGACAGTGGGTTCGATCCAAGGTTGCGATACAGGCACCTGTGCACAGGTGAGAACCGTAAAATTCCTTAATAATTTGTAAGGTTTTCCTAACAAAACCATATAAACTCTTCTTCTTCTTCTTCTTAATTAACTTTATTATGGTCCATCTGTGGCCATTATGGCCTACTGCTATTTAAAGACCGTTCACAATTCCAGGTAGTTCAATTTACAAATATACACAAAGAAAAATCAAATTTTTGTTATGTCTCGATTGTGATCTGTAATTAATATGTTCTGCTGTATTCCGAGATGATCGATTCCTGTTTGTCAATGTTGATTTGTTGAAATCCAGTCAGCACCAATTGATTGATAGAACTTGCCCGCGATATACGGGGAAACACACAAAACCCATCGCGAGACAAATTCTCCTCACAATTGACGATAATCCGTTTCCAACAAAATTCAATGTCTAGGTTATGGTTATGATAGAACCTTCTTGTCCACGATTGTTGGTAAAATACAAAAAACCCACGTGCAACAATTGTTTCTCCTCACAACTGCCGCCGATCGTGATTTGTCAATGTAATTAAATGTTCTTTGGTATTCCGATGATGATCAATTCCGTTTTATATTTTGTATTGGTTATGTGCAAAAATTTGCACCTTTTTTGTTCAATTCCAAAGTTTCTCCAAATTTAACTAAATGGCGACTTTTTTGAGTTTTCTCCTTTGTTAATCTGTTCCTTAGTTATTTGTTTGTACTTTAAACTATATTTGCTGTCTATTTCCTACGCGTAAATAATTAAATTATGGAAAATTGACAATTCCACAACCTCGTTGTTCGGAGGTCGGGAGAAAACTGCCCATACAAACTCTAATAAAACCTCACAAATTATCAAGGAATTGTACGGTTCTCACTTATGCACAGGTGCCTGTATCGCAATCGAGCTTCGATCTCTCAACCTAGGTAGCCAAAGGAATTCCGTTATTGATGGATATCATAAGCTAACATCACCAGATTGCTCTGCATTTGTTCATGGAGATATGAGCAATGAGAAGTGACTTTTTTGTGATAAATTGAATGAAAAGAAAGAAATGAAATATAAGAAGTAGCTTACTGTTGTGAAAAGATTGATTTAATAATTCAATGAACTGTAATTCCTTGATTCTTACGATATATTTCTATAGTATCAAAGTATGTCGATCAATTAGATTTTCTCGGTAGAAATTATTTTAAAGAAATATTAATTTGAATCCTTATTAAGGTACTTCAAAGATTCCTTTCATACAAATTTCACTTCAAAAGAAAAATTTCTTTAGGTTTAAATCTTATTTAATAAATTGGTTATGCTGAAAGCGGATGTGACTGATAAAAAATCTATAAAAGCATAATAAACGAATGATTTTAAAGTTACGACAAGTCTTCATAAAGCTAATTAAGATAAATATAGAATTTCCAATTTTTTGGGTCACTTCATTTAATCCAATAAGTCGAATAATATGAAGAAATCAGTTTTTTTTTACCAGTCTTTTGACTTTGTCGCATTCTCTGAAGTCATTCGCAATATTTTTATGGTAAAGACGCAATTTCGGACATCAATCGTGACTTATCAAAACATCAATTAATTTAGATATTGTTTTTAAAGCTTTTTTTTAAACAAATCTTGAAAAATAAATTTTGGTAATAATGAGAATTTCTAGTTGAATGAGCATGATGAACTTGAACTTGCTCTTATTATAATTTCTTTCAAACGAATCTTATGCGTCTTACGTTCAGGTATGCTTGTGTGCAAAGCTCATTAGTGTTGGTATTTAAATTCTTAAATGTTCTAGACAAAACTAACACAGAGTCAAGGACTATGGATAATTGATGAAAATTCGAGTTCGAATCAACTTTTTTTTGTCAGAAAATTTATGCGGCAAAACTTTGAAATTTTCATTTACGTTATAATTTTTTTCATTCTATTGTTTTCACCAGTGTTGCATTCTGGCTATTTGTCTGGATCAGATAAATTCTGAGACAGAAATTTCTTCATAAAATCGATTCTACATGTAGAAAGAAAAAAACCATCTACATGTAGATTGTGTCTACATGTAGAATCTGTCTACATAAAGATTCGATGTAGATGTCTACAATTCTACATTCTTCTCTGATTTAGACCTGGAAAAAATGTAGAATTATAGACATCTACATCGAATCTACATGTAGACAGATTCTACATGTAGAAACAATCTACATGTAGATGGTTTTTTTCTTTCTACATGTAGAATCGATCTTTATGAAGAAAGTTTCTTAGCTAGACAAAAACTATTGAAGAATCTACATTCTTCATCTAGTGTAGACATCAACATTTGCAACACTGGTTTTCACAATTTAAAATGCACGTGTAAAGATTGAACACTACTTAATTATATTGTATTTAAGTTTTATAAGGCTGGAAAAATGTTTTTTTGATTGATTCAAATTTTATCTTCTACAATTTATGACAAATTTTTCAATTCCAAATTTTTCATCTATTTGAAGCATAATTTAAGCTATGACAGTTACAAATCGATTATTATCACTCAATAATTACAGC